GTAGCTTATAATTACTGGTACAAATCAAATAATATACCTAATTATTCACAAACTTGCATCGCGTACATTGTTTTGTGATGAAATCGGGCACTCTACGTGCTTTGTAAATGTTGTATATTTTTAGTACCTATAGAATTCAAATACTAAATACCTACATACAGTAGAATCCGCTTAATCAAAACAATAACGCGTAAGACACAGATTGGCGTAGTTCCGAACGAATGTATTCGTTAAAAGCAATTTAACTTCGTTTATTGRGGGCAGAAAAACTATTGGGTTGTAAGGAACAAAAAAAATTACATTTCTGGCTATATGTGGTCGAATTTCAGGCTATATGTTACGCAGAGAGCTGAATTTTGACGATATATCCAATATTGGACTATTTTCTGCAGCCTTACGAATTAATTAACTAAATTCATGATAAATGTCTAGTAAAACGACTAACTAATTAATTTATGATATAATTAAACTTAATACAATGTTTTTTTTATAATAATAACGGTTTATTAGTTATTTGGATAATAGTGACAAATAAGTCACCGCTCAATGTGTTCCAATTAAGCGGATTCTACAATATATAATATATTATATTCATACTTTATAATCAATGGGACCGACGTGTGAAAGCACATCATGGTACATACATTTAATGATTCGTTTATAACAATATGCTTTGAATTACAATAATTTGGCTACTGTGAATTTTTTTACTTTTGTTCTCTATGTACCAACTATCCGATTTCTTATTAAAAATAAACTTTAAAGTTAAGTTTCAAGTATTTTTAATGCTCCAAAAGGTGCAGACGTCTACCTACATTAAAAAAATTCTTGTGTTGTGTGCTTAAAGTCTATTATATTCCTACTTGTGTATTGGATTGTGATTATAATAGGAAGCAGAATTAGCTGATAATTTAAACATAAACGATGTAGATGACGATGAATCTGAATAAAAAAAATCTTTCAAAATATAATTKTTGTAATACTTAAGTTATTGTAATACACGTATCTATTTATAGTAGTGTAAATTATCTATTTTAAGTTCTGATGTGGCATAATTTAGTATTTACGTATAGCTACTAGTCCAGTGGTTGACTTGGAAATAAAGTAGTAGAGGTACTCTAGCTACTTTTAAAATGTAGCGTCCCTAGTATTTTAATAAAACTTATATAATCATGGCGGTGGGAGGTTAAAAGTTTACATAACAATGCGTTCCCCTTTAAAACAGAAGTAGGGGTACGCTAGCGTATCCAAAAAATTAGTCGAGGAACTCAGTCCCCCCCCCCCAAGTCAACCACTGGCTACTACACACATGATAGTAGATATTCTATATTAAATTAGTGTATTGGTGYTAAGCAACAACCGTGCTTGATTGGAAGGGGAGAAGTTTCCTTTTTATTGAGCGTACCTTTTTTATTTTTTTAAATTGAACGTCAAGAATTGTTAGTTTTTCTGATGCAAAATATAATAACCATAATATTCATGATTTTACACCTATGAAAAAATGGTCGAATATATACACAGTGATAAGACATTTTATTATACAGGTATAGTATATATTATATCAACGTTTATTTACCTCGTTTAATGCATAATTTATTCGGTAATTATTGACCTATGTTATGCTTTTTAAGTAATTAAAAAATATTTGTTTGGCTTTATATTTTTATGATATTTGTTGAACAAATTAAATATTGTTCTGTCGTGATCGCTGCTGAAAGAAAGGAGCAAAGCCCCCGTTGGTAATGTGACGATTAATTTATTCTGTTATTCATTATAATTTATATACATTTAATCTCGTCTATTATTATACACATATTGTAAAACATGTATAGAGCTTTTAACCTGTTTAAATAACAATATAAAATAAATTGAAAATATCAATTAAAATTTAATATAGACTATAGTGACGAACTAGGCARGTAGTCCAGAGAATACTTGGTAAATGAGGATTCATTTATATTTATAATAAATAATAATTACATTTTTACCAGACTATCTATCTATATATCTATATATATATGCATATATAAGAATATAACTTGATTTTGGTGACGAGGAGACCTGTTTTGAACCCTCATAATAATAATAATTATTATTTTCATTTATTCACCGATAACGACGTTTAAAATATTAAAATATTGATTTTTTTACCCATTGATATTATAGAATATAGATATAGGTATATTATAAATAGTTATAACAGGTACCTACCTGCATTTCAGGACGTGAATACTTCGTTATAAAATTCACTTTTTATTATAATGTGGGAGTTAATGTCCAAAATTATACTGAAAAAATGTAAAAATAAAATATTGATTCCATATTCTTAAATTGTATGTTACATGATACATTTCAATTTGTATTAACTTATCAAATAAATATAATAAATGTGCCTAATATTATATACACATATATATACATACACTCGAAGCAGTAGAAGCTTAATTTCTCACTATGTAGTATATTATCGTTTTGTAAGTCATTGTAGTCTTCTGCAGTGAAGTATAACTGTGTGATAACACCCAATACGAGTAATAACCTGCAATACCTACCCTATGACTKATAGAATTTTTATTTTTTTACTGCGAAGRCTCGAAGTAGATTTTTTTAAATTTTCTTTTTTTCTTTATAAATTTAGCCAAAACGGATTGATTTTTTAAAYATTGCAAAGGGTATTAGAAAAACTACTATCCAACATCAACCGGAAAGTAGCAGTGCCATTTATATATATATCGATGGAAATCATCTGGACCAAAAACGAACGGTGTKGCGTTGGTCCTGTCTGGGTTTGTTTGTTTCGATCATGGTTATGGTAATTTTGTTGAAATTTTTTTATTACAATTTCGATTTAGGATTTTATTATGTGAATCCCGAAAAAACCGAACTCTTATCATCAGACAATTGAGCTATTGGGCAATCTGGTTTATTATTACGGTTCGAGTATTATACATAAAAATATTATTAACAATTATTGTGTATTATATTAATTGTTAATATTTGASTACTATTCGRTTCATATATTTTAATAAATCGTATAATATTTAAGTGCCTATTTATAGTAGCACTACCTAACATGAATAATAATTCCCGATCATTGATACAATGTGAGACGTCAGTTCTTCATTTTTAATTTTAAGTATAATATTCAACCTTAAAAATAAATCGGTATGGCTCAATTGTCTGACAAAAGTTCGGTTCTTTTTGGGATTCTTATAGTAAAAATATAATTAAAAAGTTACAAAAAAATCTACCATAACCATGGTCGAAATGTAAGTAATACAGACAGGACCAAATTTGTACCTTATATTTTACTGTAAGTTACCTTTGTTTACCCAAGTAAAAATACATAAAAAAAAGGAAAATACATTTTACAGAAACCATTAAGAAAAAGGAATTTCGTTTAGAAAAATATAGATAGTTAATCAAGAGAAACATCCATTGTGCCATTGGTTATGTGTCATTGAAGTGTACCTTCAAAAARAGAAATTAGTCACCTGGACACCTGGCAGATGTGTAAGATTAAAATTGATGGTTATTGAAAGAATTTATGAATTAAGAAAACCTGTTAATAAATATATAGCATTATAAAATAAATATATTTTTCTTATTATAGTTTTGTATTCGTTTGTTAAAAAATTGCAAATTATTAATATTATTATTATTATTTTAACATACCTAAACATTATATTTTTGGTTAGATGTAGAATTTTTTATTTCTGACCAAATTTCGTTGACATTATGGTTACTTATTCACAAAAGCATATTTATGATTTAAAGATTTCCCTTGTAAAGGAAAAATATAGAGTAGCGTGCAACATGCTAGGAATTTTTGTTTTTAAATGGTTGCCATTACCACTTTTTTTATTATTACCTATTTAATTTTCATCATGCCGTTTGCCGTCGTGGCATTTTAATTTCACCTATAGCTTCAGCATGGCTTCGAGGTTGAAATCTCTTTATAGTTTAGGTAAATAAGATAATAAGACTCAATTCTACTGAAGTTTAATCTGATTATTTATAGTATRAATTGTGAATGCTTACAACTTGTAAGTTACAAGTAAAATATAAAAACAATATTTTTAGTCATGAAAAGCTTTACGCAAAAAAAAAAGAAACAATTGATGATACTTCTAGAAAATAATTATAATATTATATTTAATACAGTTTTTTTTTTTATTATTATATGTACAATGTTAAAAAAAATTAATAAATATTAAGGTTTTTTTAATTATTAGGTATATATTTATAATTTATATATGATTTTATAAAATTTTATAAAATTACGCCTCTTTTTAAAGTGTTCGTATTACTTACTTCGCCTCTAGCAACATAGTTAATATTAATAACTAATACTACCTACTAACCGGCGTCCGGAACTGCAGTATATGTTAAAAATCTACATTTTGCAAATGGCTTTGTAACTTTCAGCTTTAAGTAGGTACAATTGTTTTTTRTATAATGATTTCTAACACAAGTTACATTCGTTTCAGTAGGTACGGAACATCGAATTYTACTTTACGTTAAYTTTTATWATAATATATGCATGTAATTCTATTTTTATTTTTTAAAATTGAAAGATACGTTAGGTCACTTGTTTTTACTCGAAAAATTAAATTAAATATRGTAATTTATACTAACACAAAAAATTAACATGCTTATATTTTTTTAGTATTTTCAAATATAAATTGAAAAATGTTCGAGTAATCTACTCACAAATTTCTAGAACTAGGCAATTATGATTCCAACTAATATTATTTAGTTGAATATCTGTTTTGTTATTTGGTTATCTTCTATTGCATTGGATTATTATAATCTATTTAAGCTCTATTTTAACTATATTACTGTRATAATCTGTAAGACGTTTATTTATATACGCATATTTATAAAAATAATAAATTTAATTTGTTCAAAAATATMATTTTTGAGCGATTGGTGAATATATCTTTTATTTATTATATAGATAATAATTAATAATAATATTCCCTTTTTGTGACAAATAAGTTCACAAATATTTTAATTATTTGAAACTGTATAATTTGTATAGAGAGGTTATATTGCAGGGTGGCAGTATTGTGATAAACAGTTCCCACTCGTTCTTGGTTTTTGAACAGGAAAAAAAAAGAAGGTTATGTTACTATGCTTTTACTAACTTTCATGGTTTCATTATACAAAATATAAGCCAAGTTAAAGTAGGTAGGTATTTTAGTTAGATCTTCCAGATTTTTATTCTCTTCCACATCCCTCTATACATTACTTTGCTAACTATAGTTATAATCACTCCATCCATCAAATGACACTTCTAGCTTACGAGGACCTTACTTTTCTAATACAATAATACTTTTCATATGTATAATCTTAAATGAATCTCTTTTTGAAATGTATGTATTTTATCGTCTTTTTTTAAACTACTAACCTTGGATATCCACCCGTTATGTATGTAAAATAAAATAAAATAATAAAAAGTCATGTTTATATTTCACATAAAATGGGCCATGTTGATATTTTGTAGATTGTAAGTAATAAGTACCTATATTATATAATATATTATATAGAACCACCTATGTTTTATACATAAATTTGTCATAGCGAGATATTTTCGTTTAGTATTTTGAACATCTATTGTTTTTAAAATGAACATTATACAGAGGTGGTTAGTGGAAATATTGCAGTAGCGTTTCACTTAGGATGTGAGCATGTGACACGTGGCCTCATCAAATGCACCATAGTAAAATATTCAACCCTCGTATCTACACTTATCAGTTATATTAAATATACGATATCAGCTATAGTGTTTTGGGTCCATAGTGACGGAAATGAACTCTTCAACAATCTCTCTGTCCATGCCCGTGTATGCCCTGTGAACGTCCACTGCATCATCATTTGACGGTCTCCTCTCTCTTCTCTCCGGTCTTTCCGGTTTCAGTTTTGGTGCTGTTCTATGACTTTTCCACTTGGGTAAGGTTCTCGTTTCGTCGTAAACACCCTAAACAATTTTATCGTGTTTATTATAATAATATATAATATATACAAAGCGTAGCGTAAAGAAGGTAATTTAACTGTGAATTCAATTTATTACATAATAAAGTCAACCGCCAAAGCGTGATGGCGTAACTTAAAAGGCATTAAAACGGGAAAAGTAACGTCATATAAAGCGGTCGGCATGTAATCATACCTGTTAACTACCTATTTAAAATATATTAGTATAACTATACTTATTTTGTGGTAAGTGGTATTATATTTAAAAAAAAACCGGCGAAGTCCCTCCACCGTATATAGCAGGTTTCATCAATCAATATAATATACAAAAACAATGCTGAGTAAAGATGAGCACGCCTCGGCCGAATGTACATAAACATTTATAGTTTATATTTAGTTATGTGATAATTGATCGGTATTAAGAGGACACACAATCGTTCGTCGTCTCCGCCTTACAAGTGCATAACATTGCAAATTTGAGCTCAGTAGATCACGTTTAGCTCCGTTAGTTTAAAAATTAGAGTGAATCGACCTATTATGAAACTTRATGTTAAGAACATTATCTGTGTTTTTATGTGGATTGTTTTACGATACTTCAATTTTGTATCAAGTTATGATTATATAAAAAGCGTAAATTAAAAATGCTCATAATTCACTAAAAAACTACTTTATCGTAAAAAACCACATATAAACACAGATGATGTTGTTATCATCAAGTTTCATTATAGGTCAATTTACTCTAATATTTAAACTAACGGAACTAAACGTGATATTCTAAACGTAAATTGGCTATGTTACGCACTTGT